TATAAATTTTTCAGCAAAGTTGAAAAAAGATTAGTGTTCAAAATTTACAAACAAATTGATTATTGAACAAAATTACAAACATTCTTTATATTTCTATGTATAAATTTCTTTTTATTCTAATCATATTTAGACAAATATCATAACATAAAATACGTCACATAAAAACCAGGTTATTAGAAAGAACTAAATTTTTTTGATAATTTCATTATTTTTTTATTTCTTTTGTTTATATTTTATTTCATCTTCCTTTCCATTCCCTTTTTAAGAAATATAATATAACAACGATTGGTTATTTCATTAAAGTTGTCGATGAACAAAACGGGAAACACATATATACCATTTCATTCCTGGAAACTCAGAATCAGATAAAGATTATTAAAATCAAAACTGACTTACAGGGCTGTATCAATGAGAAACCCCTATTTGCTATTCTCTAGGTCATTAATTTTTGTAAATGTAAATGAATCTCGGTTGTTAAGTTGAACATTTGCATAACAGAAGAGAAACACAATTTGAACGCGTTTTGTACATTTTTCTAAGTCATTGAAGGAAAACATTTGGTATAAAATAAGATTTGCATTACTGTATTTTTCTCAATAACTCCTAAACCAGACCATGTAGCGTGTTGACTTATACACCAAATTGAAGCTCAAATGTCAAGGGTACCTGTGCTAAAATTGGAGAAAGTTCCAATGTTATTTCACCTAGGAAATTAACGTTTTTTTAAAATGAAAATAAAAGTTAAAATTCCAAATTTTTCGAATTTTATAGTCATGTGTTTCCGAAATGTGAACAAATTACACTAAATGTAGATATTCTTAAGAAAGCCCTTACTCTGAGGTTTCCAAATCATATTTGTTAATGTGCCTGCCTTCAACAGTCGCGGACTTATACTTAAAATTTCAAAAAGGAAAAAATCAGTCGATATTGACTGTAACTCCGAACCTGTTGAGCTGTGAACATCGTGTCCATACAAAGATTTTGTCTACTAATGAGGGCCTATACAATGGCATATAGCAGTGCACTTTGTTACGAGGCACTCTGTACAATATGACAATATATGAAATACTAAACTTATATCTATTACTTTCATACATTTGAATGTTTTTGTCTAACTTTTATAAAATGAAAAATTTAGGATGGTATCGGGGAATTGTGATAGTTTGTGTGGAGCCTTTTCGTTATAATTTTTCAGAGTTTGGGCTAGTCTGACTCTTTTAGGTTGCCATCTCATGAGTCTAAGTTGATTTTGATGATTTGCAGTCATTTAGAGCGCGTGTCTTATCTCTGAGGCCACTGTGGCTCCTTCGTTGCTAGAAATACGTAATGCGTTACATCAGCCGTGGGCAAAGTGCGCCCCATTCTGCTTCCAAAAAATATATTCGATTTCCACTATTAAAAATTGAAAGACTTTTTTTAAAAAAATTTTTAAGAACTCAAAAAATAGATAGAAATAGATAAAATAGATAATATAGCAAAAACTAAAATTTTGAGATTTTTTTCTCATTTGCAAAAAAAAATAAACAATTATTTACAAACAAAAATAAAAAATTTACAAAAATTTGCAAGATTTTCAGAAATGTGAATAAGTATCAGATATTTTTTTGTTATTTTTGAATTTTACTTTTTATTATATCTAAGTAGGTAATGTAAGAAACTCTAGTGGCCAATACTCATCTCATAGTAGTTAATTTTAATATATAATAATAGTAGTTTTAATTTTTTTAATATCTAAAAGAACGGTTAAAGTTTTATATCAGCTATCATAAGCGCCCATGATAAATTTATTTTACTTAATAGATAAAGTGATAAATTTATTTATTATGTATGTTTTTTTTAAATATGTTTATTTCACCTTTGTTTATTATGTACTTTTGGTTTATTAGCTTTGCTTGAATTTTTCCGTAAAACAGTACTTCTGCAATGTATAAAAGTTTTAATATTAGATTTAAATATTAGATTTTAAATATCTGTTTATCCTTGATTGAGTTCAATGAGCTGTATAATTGACATAATTTGGGTGTATCTCAGAAATATACTAATAAATTGTAGTTAAGTGCAATCAATGAAAAACCATTAAAATGATAAATTGATAAAAAAAACATACATGATGATTGATAAAAAAAAATTTTTTTTTAAGTTACATATTTAGGTAAATCAATACAAACGAAACTTTCTTTGTTCTTTAATAATTTTTTTAAAAAAGTAATCAATTACTTACATTAAAAGTTTAGCAAAACGCATTTATATACAAACATAATTAAAATAAGTTTTGTATGATAAACTTTCTGTTAAAGATTACTGTAGTTTTTAGCACTTTCCAAAAAATTTTTGAAAAAAAGTGCTTATTAGTTTCACTCTGTCCGTCCGTCCGTCCGTCCGTCCGTCCGTCCGTCTGTCCGTGTGTCTGTTTACAAAACTTCTACACCCTTGAAGATAGAAAGCTGAAATTTTGTATGTACATAGATCTTTACTAGAAACTTATTTCCGTAGAACAAAATTTTTACCTATCTCCCCCCCTCTAGAAGTTATACCCCCGAAAACCTTAAAAATGGCCTTTTTTAACTATTTGTTGCAATGAAACCATAAGCATTTTTAAAATTTTGCAAACGCATAAAGGCAGCGGCTTGCTTCCCCTAGCGCGATATACTATAGTTAAACTTTAGAAAAACAAAATGGCCGTTCAAATTTACCGTTATCTAAAGTCTTTTTTTCCAAATTTTTGATTTCGTTTTTCTTCTAGACTTATTTCGTTAGAAGAAAATTTTTTTCCATCTCCACCCCCTCTCAAGTTATCGCCTCTTGAAATTTGTAAAATTTGCATTTTTGGCGCCTTATATTTCCAAAATCACAAACGTTTTCAAATTTCTATAAACATAAAAAGCTAGCGGTAAATTCCGTGATATTAAAAAATATAATTATTTTTCTTAACTCACACAATTAACCCTTAAAATCGAGCATTATGTTAACCCCTCTTTATATAAATTTTTGCTTTATTTCAAAGACTGCATGAATGCATCATCCTAAATATATGCAATCCTAGAAATAGTTAAATATGAATGAAAATAATTTTAATAGTGTGATAGGTATGCATAGACTGTATTTAAAAGCAGAATTTTCACTTGTTGAAGGGAAAAGTGCTACAATACAAACCATTGGTTTGACCCAACTTTATTTAAAATATAATAGAAAATATCTAATGAACCACGGCCGACCATTTTAAGCGATTATATTACCACTAGACCAATGCATGTGCAGTAATAAACATACGATAGTTGAAGATTATAGACAAATATAAAAATTATGAAAATTAAATATAGTACTCTACAATATTGCTAACAATAGTTTTGTAAAAAATATGTGAATCTTTAGATATAGTCTTGTTCAAGTTGTTTTTCATTTTCATTATGATGCAACGACATTATTATTAAGAGTGACGAACAAAAATGCTGTACTAATAACTAAATCGGCAAATGCACTAACATAAAATAATTTTAAAAGTTTTCATGCTAAACACCTAAATTTTGATATGATCAAAGGTGTACCTGCAAAATGTAAAAAAATTTCCTTTGGGAGAGTATTCGCTTTAAAAGCTTTTGTTTCTTTTTACCGACCGTATTGTGAATACAGTAGGTAGGTTACGTGATGGCAGCAAATTTTGCATATCGAGACTTCGGTGGGAACGCACTTCTCGATAGTAGGGAATTGTAAATAAACTATTTTTAGCAACCTGGCGGTCTGTCGGTCTGTGTGTGCACGCGTGTATATAAAGTTTCGTTGAACCGATTTTGATGAAATTTTAAAATAAATTTTTAAATTAAGTCTATTTCGACTAGGGCACGTATTGATCAACTTTTGGGATATTAATATTTAAATTTTTTGTATTTAACAATGCATCTATTTTTACAATTTTGTGTAAAGATCAAGCCTCAGAAACTGATCTGAGGGCCGATTTTATATTTTTTATCATATCTACGGAACGAATTGATGGAATTTCATGAAATTTGATACTTGAGTTCTGGTTGTTGCCGAAACTAACTGACGAGTATTTTAGGGAATTTGGGTAACACAAAGCGAAACTCTACTAAGAGCCAAATATACATTTTTGTAGGTAATTTAACTATAAGTTTACTAATGCTCTAAAAATTGGAAAGAAGTATTTAACAGGCATTTTTACAGTATTGTGTAACACTTTCACTTAACTAGACAATAAACATTCCGGTCGGTTATGTGCTGATCACATCAGATTTTTTTTTACCTTGCATGTTTTTCTTACACATGTTTTTTAAACACATTTAACACGTTTACTGGCAAAACTATGAGAGATAGAGAAAAATGTTATATGGTTAGATCTAATCGAAAAAAAGCAAAAAAAAAAATAATACAAATTTTCGAAAAATTTCAAGTTTTTAAAAACAAATTTTAAAAGAAAGAAAAAAATTCTGAATTTGGCGAATTTTATTTCGAAAACTACAGCTCAAATCAAATTGATTGTGAAACAGAAAATAAAGAGCAATTTATCGCCTGTGAATCGCCTCTCGATGGTTGCTGTAAGTTTCATGATTCCGAAGTTATAAGCATTTAATGTATAGAGGCTGCAGCTCGAAAACGAGTATGACCCCCACCCTAAACATTTTTTTGCTGCAAAATGATCAAAGAATCATTCTTGAAATTATTTGCCTTATACGAAACATTCTGTATAAATATATTTATAAGGATATATGAAAGTGTCGCAAAAATGTTGCGGTAGTTATAGCCTATTCAAGAAACAGGACAACTTGTTTGGTAATACTTAAGTTACGAGTAATATTAATATAAGTTAATCGTTCGAAGTGAGTCAATAAATGTTTGTCCACCCTAAAAAATGTGCTACTTTTTCTACAAAAAATATAAAATTAAATTTTAAAATTAAGTAGAAATTTTTTGTTCTGCATAATTTTTTTCTGCACTCCGTAACTTGTTCAAAATTTAGTAATAAAATGAAATATAAGAAATTTTATGCCATTAATACTTATTTATTTGACAATATTGCTTCTATATAACAAGAGGATCTCTCACAAGTTTAGCATAAATACCATCCTTCAATTGTAAAAGTAAAGCTTTATTGTTTAATTTTGTTTCCTTTAAAGTTCGTTCAGATATTTCAAGTTTATGGCTTTTCAAAAAGTATAGTAATCCAATTTTCGTTTGTAATAATCCAAAACGTTCGCCGATACAATTCCTTGGGCCCACACCGAATGGCATAAATGAATAAGGAACTATTTTTTTCTTATTGTTAATTGTAAACCTTTCTGGATCAAATTTGTTGGGGTTTTCAAAATACTAATAAAAAAAAAATAAAACTGTTTTTACCTTCTTTTTATCTTTTCTTGCATATCAATACCTACATTTTCGTCGCGTTGTATAGAGTATATTGGGATATGAATTGGTGTTCCACTTTTTATCGACCCTTTGCAAAATGGTTCTAAAGTGTAATCTTTCCCTCCTGGATCTTTATAAATTCTATCTAAAAATGGTAATACCGGGTACAATCTGAGTGTTTCTTGCACTACCATATTTAAATATTCCATATTGTGTATTAAATCATATGTCAATTTTCCATTACTTTTCTCAAGAACGTTCTTTATTTCTAGACGAAGTCGATCTTGTATCTCAGGGTTTAGCGTAAGTTGCCATAATGCAAATGATATTGTTGTTGAGCTTGTTTCGTATCCAGCTATGAAAAAAGTAGCCGCTTGAGCTATCAAAGATGTTTCATCTAATATTTTATTTTGATCTTTTTCGAATTTTTGTTGTTTTCGTATTTGTAATAACGCTTCTATTAAGTCATTTCTTTGCATATTCGATTTTTCACGTTCTTGCATTATATGTCGAAATGATGATTTTAGAAAATGCGTTGATTTTTCTGTGAAAACCTTTAAAAAAATGAACGTAATGTATGGATGTTCTTTTAATAAAATAACTATCTAATTTAACGAACTTAAAAAATAAAAAGTTTTGAATTTTTATTACTTAATAAAAATTTTTTATTTTTAAGTAAAGTATTAAATTATCTCAATATCATTAAATCTGAAGATAATATTAGAAGATTACATAGTCATACATAACTATATATAATGTAATTTCTGTCTGTTTTAAGTGTTAAAACTGTATGTTTGTAATTATTATTTAGATGTTTTTTCTCATTTTTCTTAATTCAATTTTGAAATGTATTAAATTGCACTTAATTTAATTTTTTCGTATTTATATGTATGAACATATATTAATAAAAAACTTAATATTTTAAACAATATTCTGGCGATGTCTTAAATGTGCGAAACTAGTCAAGGAAAATAAAAAATAAAAATATTTTTAAATTCAACAATAACATCAATAAGAATATTGTGAAACAAAATAACAAGTATTTTTTTTAAACTTAGATTAAAAAATTAATATTTTAAATGTGAAATAACGGTTCTTTTTCGAAAAGTATTGTTTTTAATATCTTACTTTTTTTTATTTGAATAGTAGTAATGTTTCTTCAATCTGGTACCTTTCATGGTTTAGGAGAAACATACGTCTATATATCACAAAAATCAGTTTTTTAGGATTTATTATAAATGAAAACCGAAAATTTATTAGAGATTATTAATTATATTAATAATCCCTATATATCTCTTTTAATAAATATATAGGCCGGTGAAGAGCTCTTTTTTTCTTATTCTTGCTTTTGTTTGTTTTTAAGTAAAATAAACTTTGATTCTCTTTTATTACTTTTTGGATACAAATTTATAAAGAAAGAGCAGATTAAAACAAGTAAAAACCTTTCAGCCGGTAAAAACCAAATTACTTGTGTGAAAATTCAATATCACAGCTTTTATAGTTTCTGAGATACAGCCAAATAACTTTTGAAGTTGTATCGCAGCTACCAGAAGAAGTCAAGCAATTTCAACGACGTTTATTAAAGTCATTGGACCTACTTATATATTTACTTGTGCAAAATTTCAATATCACAGCTTTTATAGTTTTCTAGATATAGTCAAATAAATTTTGAAGTTGTATGGCGGCAGCTACCTGAACTAGTACCCCCATCATATCTATTTTAAATAGGGTTCTGGAATTTAATATAATAAATCATTTGTGAAAATTTGGTGAACTTAGCTCATTAGTGTTTGAGTTATCGTCGGAACAGACGGGCGAAGGGACGGACGAACGGTGGAACGGACAAATAAAGATAAATATATCTCGACTCTATGTCTCTGATCATTATTTCTTAGCGTTACAAACGGTAAGGCAAATTTAGTATATTATTTTTATAAAAATTAATATGTATATTATTAGCGTTTGTCTTAAAGAAAGTCGAGACATTAAAACATTTTCAAGAAAAAACTGTTATATCTTCGAAACTGGTAAAGGATGTTATTATATTTTATAGGAACATGAAAGATGATTTCCCAACTTTTTATTTGGCCTTAACAAAATGTATCTTTTCACATCGTAGACTACGACGTCACAAGGTATAAATCCATTATCTGAAACCACCTAATTGCTACAAAAGCCCAATATTTTTCATCTTTTACTTACCTTAACATTTAAAAAGGAGACTATATCAGGTAAAAAGAACAGTGATGAGAATTCAAAGCTTCTCCACCTTGTAAAATTAAAAATTTCTCGTCCATGTTTTAAAAAATCTGCTTTAGGATTGGACATGCTATTGGCATCTATACCAAATGCGATACTAGCAATGACATCTATTGTAAATAATTGCGCAATACCTTTAACTTCTTGATCGGATTCATTTGGTGAATTTTCTGTTAATGCAAGTATATGTCTGTCAAGCTCTTTCCCAATCTAATGAGATACATAAAATACATATAAAAAACTATAAAACACAAACTAAAGATATTGAAATCAAAACTGATGTGCGCCAATAATTATGAGTGCTGTATTTTTGAAATATGTTTAATTATAAGAAGCTATCAAAAGCTATAATAAATTTGTTGGAAAGCAGAATCAAACAGTTTAGTCGATTTATCCCGAATTACCACAACTTGTTAACTTTATTTCTAAATATGTGAAGCTTAACTTTAAAATAAAGTTGGGTCAAACCAATGGTTTGTGTTGTAGCACTTTTCCCTTGAACAAGTGAAAATACTGCTTTTAAATACAGTATGTGTACCTGCTACGCTATTAAAATTATTTTCATTCATAAACGAAACTATTTCTAGCATTGCATATATTTAGGATGAACGATTTATGCAGTCTTTGAAATAAAGCGAAAATTAATATAAAGTGAGGTTAACATAATGCTCGATTGAATCAAAATAATTTTAATAGTGTTATAGGTGTACATAGACTGTATTTAATAGCAGAATTTTCACTTGTTGAAGGGAAAAGTGCTACAATACAAACCATTGGTTTGACCCAACTTTATTTTTGTTTGTTCTATTCGATGTGCTACGATGAGAGCTAAAAGTTAATTCATATAACATTAATATCTCATGCTTTTGCCAATATAACGTGTTAAATGTGCTTTCAAAATATGAGAAAAATGCATATTTCATACATTTCAATCAAAGAATCACCCCTGAAGTTATTTGCCACCTTATGTGATCAAAGAATCACCCCTGAAATTATTTGGGAAGCAACATAATAATATTAACCACCCACCGTATAATAATATTAACCACCCCATGTAGATATGTGTATAAAAGGTTATGTTTTAACCTCTCATTTAATTCAGTTGTAGTTATAATTGAATTAATATTTGCATAATAAGTCTTTGTAGGAAACAAAAACATAATATTATGAAAATTAAATTTTTTTAATCACATATGAGTACTTACATCATTTGCTAATGAAAACATTTGTTTTATTTTGCCACTTGTAAAAACCGGCGTTAAGTTAGTACGCATTTTTTTCCAACGAGGGTTTTTTTGTAGAAATAAATTGTTGCTTCCTAATAAATCCCTATGTATATCTGCTGTTGTAAACCTGTGGAATAAATATTTGAAATAAACAATCTTCATAAAATATTTACGATTCGCAACATGTAATTGATTTTCATTAAACTCTAGCTTTCAGGCTCTGATTCCCTTGAAAAATTCGTTAATTTGTTCTTTTTAGAACCAGCATGTGTCAGAAATATAAAATTTCGAATAAATTTAGTGATTGCTTTCTTATATTATATAGAAATATATGGTTGCTGGCCCTTGATTATAACAAAAATTTTAAAGGTTGCACCTAAATCTAAAGGCTTATGCAAATTCAATTGAGACGCAACAGAAAAGCTGATCAAATCATCACATAATAAAAATAAGCACAAATATAAATTTTTGTGAAAAATGTGTAATTCTCATTTTTGTCGAAAATTTGAACCTCCTTTCATGCTAGACACTCATAGTAAAACTGAACAAAATAGAGTTGGGTCCAACCAATGGTTTCCAATATAGCGCTTTTCGCTTCAACATGTGAAAATACTGCTTTTAAATCAATTTATACCTACTACTCTATTAAAATTACTTTCATTCATATACGAAACTATTTCAAGTATTGCATACATTTAAGATGAACGATTTATCCACTCTTTGAAAAAAAGTAAAGGAAAATTTAAAGAGGCAGTAACATATGCTCGAATTTAAGGGCTAATTGCTCGAGTTAAGAAAAATAACTATATTTTTTAATGGCATAGCATTTACCGTTAGCTTTCTGCATTTATAGAAATTTGGAAAAGACAGTTTCGGAAATATAAAGTGACAAAAATTCAAATTTTACAACTTTCAAAATGCGATAACTTAATAGAGGGTGACGATGAAAAAAAATATTTCTTCTAACCAATTGAACTATTTATGAATATCTAAGAGCTACTAAAATGTTAGACTCGTAAAACCTGAGGTCTAGAAGAAAAACGATATCAAAAATTTATAAAATACGGATTAATATAATAAGAAATATAATTTATTTATTTTTGCCGACTGCATTGTGTATACAACAAGTAGGTTATGTTATGGCAACAACTAACTTTTGGAAGAAATCAAGTGTCAGCAACTGGGCGTTTATTACGGATTATTATACATTTTTGCGTATAAAAAGAAAAATAATCAACCGATTTCATTGAAATTTAATATTTAAATTCTTCGTAATAAAACAATGAACATATAAATTTTTTGGAAAAGATTCGAAAACTGATCTGCCGGCCGATTTTACATTTTTCACTATATCTACGAAACGAATTGATGGAATTTCTTGAAATTTAATATTTGAGTTCTGGTTGTTACCGAAACTAACTGGCAAGCATTTCAGGGAATTTCGGTAGCACAAAGCGAAATAAATTTACCAAATTTACATTTTTTTAGGTATGTAAACTATAAGCTTACTTATGCTCTAAAAATTTTAAAGAAGTATTTAACAGGCATTTTTTATAATATTCTGTAACACTTTCACTTAACTAGAAAATACACATTGCGGTCGATTATGTGCTGACCGCACCATATGTTTTTTTCAGTATAAAACGAAAACACTCCCGTTAAAAAAATACCAAATTAAAGTTGAAATTAAAAAAATTCCAAAATAGAAAAAGATGGTAACTTCTTCCTTTTTGGTCTATTGAAAGGTCATGTCCTGCATCGTGTATATGCAATAGAGTACATTTATTGAATTAGCAATTTATATTCAATGAACTTCCGAAGTAAAATATAAATAATTTTCGAAAAATTCCGAAGTAAAGGGAAAAATAATTTTGATTCCAAATATCGTTTTGCTGTTATGCGCTATTTTTTCTTTGTCTCTTGTATGAAACGGATTTATTACGATAAAAGTTTTAATGCGTTTATGTCAAACTCACCTGTCTTGAAAGTAGTTGAAGTCTTTAATCAAAACTTTTTTTATTAGCTCAGGGTCTTTGATGACTAAAGCTGGTCTGTGAAATATATGAATTCCAACAACTGGCTCATTTCTGGTGTTACGATCTTCATAGATTTCATTAAAAGCTATTGCAGGACATTTTTTATATAAGAACAACACATCAAAAAACTTTTGAAATGTCCTCACAGATGGTACTTTCCGGTTATTCCAGTATGATAAATAATTTCGATATATTTTGTATATCAAAGAGCAAACCGCTATTATAAAAAATAAAAAAGTTATTGTACGAATTTCCATTTCAATTCCTTCGTCCAATATATAAAACTGACAATTTTTATTATATTTTTATAATATTCAGTAATAAAAATTTTTTAAACAGAGAAAGCACTTGTGAACTTTAACAAAACAACATTAATACTTTAATGAAATTCATAAAATAGCTTAAGTTACTTTTATATAAATTTTAATTCATCCGTAATCATTTTGGGTAAACACTTAATAATTGTCAAATCATTTCTGCAGATATGCTGATAAATTATATACACATCTCATCAAGCTTTTGTTTTTTTGTACATTGTCATTTTATATATAACTTATTATAGCTTCATTGTGAGAACTTTTTTCATTTAGAAAACTTATTACGAATTCAGTTAAATCTTAAATTAATTATTAAATTTTCTTACATATTTAATCTTAAATTGGCAAGAAAAATCATATATAACGTTATTGGTGTTTGTAGGTTTGTCTGAGTGCACAGGTTTATTTGAATTCAATCACAATCACAAAGAGAAAAGAATTAAAAATATAAGATAATTGACCAAAGTTATTCGTGTTAGCACATCTTGAAATTGTATGTAGTGACTTTTTTCTGTTCTTTTAATACTTTAAAAGAGTGCTGAACGTAGTATATATATTTCTTATAACATTGTATAAATTTCTATACAATAAAAAGTTTGTTTTAAATTTAAGCTGAAGAATTCGTGTTTGTCTAAGCAAAAAATTTTATTATTTAAAACAAAATCTAAGATTTGTACATATATTAACATGTTATATATGAGAACAACCAAGCACAGTATTAATAATTTAAATAATTATTTTTTTTAATACATATATTCTCTTTCTTAATGAAGAATCAATAATCTATGTACACTGCGTCATTGCTTAATCAAAATATGGTGAGGCTAATCAAAATATGGTGAAAAAATAAGATTTGCGGTGTCCCGAATTTCAAAAAATGTGGTTTTTTACTTTAAAAACTTTACTTCTAGCATTTATGTTTTATATTTAATTAAATTTAAATTTATGTCGGATATTACAGTTAAAAGTCGAATACTTTAACATTAGTTTGATATAATATTCGAAAATAATTGATAGTCTATTAAAATTTTATCCAAAGCATGTACTTAAAAATCAATTTGTATGTTTAATTATCGTTTCATTGACATGCGACGAGTGTAAACCATATAATTATTTTTCATATAAGTATCTTGAAGATGTTTTATGACATTATTTAATATTTTACATTTTACCTTTTTAGATAATGTAAATCAAAGTGATTTTGAATAGAAAGATAAACAAAATAATTACATTTTTCGTAATTTCCGTTTCAAAGTACATGACGATACTGCATGATTTTGATCGCACGTATTTACATTTCTTATTAGCGAGTCCAGTTAGCACAAATTTTGATTAAAGTTAGTTATTTATTTATGTAGGTATAGAGCGTGTTAATAAAATTTTGTACTTGGCTTTAATATGTTGAAACAAAAATTAAAGCAGCTGTTATCTGTATTGGAATTCAAAGACTATATTATAGTCAAAACTTCTGCAATTTGGAAGTTACTTGTATGTACTTGACACAATTTTTTACCTTTTTTAATGCAAAAGCAATAATTATTCTTGGGGTCCTTTTATGATTACCCAGTACCCGTTTAAGTCGATATTTTTTCATTCTCTTTTTTTTGGTAATTCCTTCGCCACTAAGCTGCCTCGGTAGTTACCATGGTGTGCCTCGTTGCAGTTTGCACCTCTGGTCTGAAAATTATCTTTTTTATATTTATTTAGCAATTTTATAATAATTTAGCATATTTAGCTCCTCTTTAGCAAAATATTTATGTTTGTTCGATCCTCTGGCATCTCTTGTATTGCGAATGGAACAATTACTTCTAAGAGGCTCAACTTTTACTCTGATGTGTTGAAGATATTATACTATTATATATTTTATTAATATATTTTATTTATGTCTTTGATATAATCGAGAGACAACACGAGAAGGAGCCATTTTTTAATAGCATTTACATCATTTTCTTTTTTCTTTGTAATTTTATTTATGATATCTACACATATGATGGTTGTAGGTTTCTGACCATCACTTTAATTGGCGTCGTCAATTTATTTTCATAAGTATGTCATTCCATTTAGTTTTTATTAACAGTTTATTAACAGTTTGATTGTTTATATTCATTTTCATTTTCAACATTAATTTTAATCATCATGATTTCCTACACGTCAACGCTGTCCTTTTGGAGGATCCTTATTAACTGCGTGAAATTAGTTATCTTACTAACTATTACCGGCTGGGGTTTATGTTTTTTAAGTTGAGACTTTTTCTTTGGTGGAGATTTCTCTACATTAGTGCAATTCATTTCTAGTGCCAGTTCCATTTCTGGTGAAACTTTCCTCTTCTTTGAGTTTCTTTATGTTTTAAGAATCTAATTTCTACCGAACTCTTCCTCATCTGTTTCGTGTACGACCACACCTATTTTTGTCTTTTTCGGTGTCATTTGAAACTGCATTCTGCTGTCCTAATTATTTTAAATTTTCTGCTCTGAGTTTGCAAATCTCTTCTCTCAGCTCCTTACACAAGTTTTCCGAATCACTTATACACGATCGATGATTGGTCAACTTTTCTGAAGTAATAGACTTTTTACGTTACCTTCAGATGTTTTACCTTTATTGTCTTCTTCAGAACTTCTTTCTTTATGATCTTCTATGGTTTTCCTTCTAACTTCTTCCATGGGGAGAAACCTTGGAGCCTTTGAGCTCTTGTGAAACGGGGTTATTAATTTCGCTAAGTGATCTTTCCTTTTCTATTGGCGACTTCTCTGAACGTCTTGAACATTCAATCAACCCCTCACCGACAGCCGTGATCTCTGCCGACACTTTGCTAGATATGCCTACCGCATGTATTTTCTTATTATGTAACATTTCATACTTGGTTATAGGGTATATAGCTATAAACCTATTCAGATTTTTCTACTACCGTCAGGGATCATTCACTTCTGGCATTTTCGCCAATAAACCATGTCCCGTTATCACGGCTCCAATGTTTCTCGAGCGGACAATTCTTACAAATCCACAAAATAAAATAAATTTTTATAAGACCTGCCAAAACAATTTTTCCTTTTATAGAAAAGATAATCTTTCTCGTTTTAAACTGATTTTTGGTTAAGCTTCAAACTTCAAATTTTTTTAATTACTTATTTTTATTTATTAGGTTATTTCATTATACCTAAAAAAATATTACATTCTCATCTAAGACTATTTCTTAATTGTATGTATAAAGAAGTTTTATAAATGTAATATATACAAAAAATATAAGAAATTAAAAAAAGTAAGAAAATATTAGAAATCTAAAATTAAAAATTTAGCAGCTAACTATAAGAAATAATTATATTTTGTTAATGTAATAAAAATAACGTAAAGTTTGTAAAATTCTCCCCTTTTTATACCCATACGAACGTATGTTCGAAGGGTATACTAAATTTTGCCTTACCGTTTCTAACGCTAAGAAATAATGCTCTGAGATATAGACTCAAGTGTATGTTTTTGATCAGCGTCGAATTCTGAGTTGATTTAGGGGGTTTTCGTTTATTGAGTTCTAGAAAATTTACGCTACACACACTAGAAATATAGGTCGTTCGAAAATTACTGGCTGCAATAAAATGCGTTCGGAAATTCAATCTGTAATAAAGAAATTTTAGAAATGTAGCGCTGAACTCTAGTGTGAATTTTGTCGCTGCCTCATGAAATTTTTTTTTCTTTTTTAATTTAAAATTCAAAAAAAATTTAAATTTTAAAATGGGAGATTCAGATGGCAGAAATATATTAAAGTATGCTTTCTTTAAGTCTTCAAATCTTGTTAAAATTTCCTTATTTTGCAGTGAATTGGAAAGCGAAAAGTATTGGGATATTCTTTCATAAACAACGTCATTTATAATATTTTTGAACGACAGTTTATTTAGAAGTTTCAGAATTTGTAGATTGTGTAAACAAAAAAAGCTTAGCTAAAGTTTTTGCATACTGTTTAACGCTGCAACTTAGAAATTTTGTTTCTAATGTACGATTTTCAGCGCAAAGTGCATAAACGAAAACCCCCTTGGCTTTGTCTGTCCGTCCGTCCATCCGTCCCAGCGATAACTCAAATACTAATAGAGCCAAATTTCCAATACTAATTGAGCCAATACAAAGTTCACCAAATGATTTATTGTAGTAAGTGCCAGAACGCTATATAAATTTGACATGATCGGGGTACTGGTTCTGGTAGCTACCATACAACTTTAAAATTTATTTGGCTATATCTCAGAAGCTATTAAAGCTGTGGTATTCAAATTTCACACAAATGAATATATTAGTAGGGCCAATGTGTCTGATAAAAGTCCTTGAAATTACTTGGCTCCTTCTGGTACCTGCCAAACAACTTCAAAAGCTATTTGGCTATATCTCAGAAACCATAAAAGCTATGGTATTGAAATTTCACACAAACGAATATATTAGTAGGGCCAATGTGTCTGAAAAAGTCGTTAAAATTACTTTTCCCTTCTGGTAGCTACCATACAACTTCAAAAGTTATTTGGCAATATCTCAGAAACTATAAAAACTGTGGTATTGAAATTTCTCACAAGCGAATATATTAGTAGGGCCAATGTGTTTGATAAAAGTAGTTGAAATTGCTGGGCTTCTTCTGGTAGCTGCCGTACAACTTCAAAAGTTATTTGGCTATATCTAAGAAACTATAAAAGGTGTATTATTGATATTTCACGCAAGTGAATATATTAGTAGGGCCGATGTGTTTGATGAAATTCGTTAAATTGCTTGGCTCTTTCTGGTAGATGCCATACAACTTCAATAGTAGTTCGGCACACACAGTATTTTGAAAAATACAGTGCTGACATTTTGCATAAATTAATATGATAATATGGCAAGTTAATGTCATAGTCTGTCCCATAGTCAATTATGGTAGATTTATTTTCACATAGGATAACAAATTCGAACTGGTATCACAGAGTTGACAACTCTATTTTTTCTTCTTTTTAACAAATTTTGTATATTAAAGAACAAACCTCTATGGTAAATAATTCATTGAAACCCACTGCCTTTCTGAGTACAGTAAGGTATAAAACTT